ACCACCCGCCGCTTGCGTTTGAAGTTGGCGGGGTCGTGGAGGCGGCTGCGCTCCTGCCACTCCAGCAGCCGCCGCAGCAGCGCCTCGGCGGTGGCATTCAGCTCGGGTGTGATGACCTGCAAGTGTAACGATGGTGTGATGGTGTGATGGTGCGATGGTGTGATGGTGTGTGGTTGTGTGTGAGGAGGGAAGCGCAGCACGGCAGCAGCAGCAGGACGCGCGGCTGTGGCAGGTACAGGAGCGTCGGCATGGCTGCACGCGCCGGCTGCAAGCGCCGGGCAGCTGCGAGGGCTGGCGGAAGCTGACCTGGCAGACGTAAGGCGCCACGTCAGCACCAGGCCCCACATACGTCCTGCCCCCGCCGCCGCCGCCGCCGCCGCCGCCACCGGCCATGCCGTCGCTCCTGCCTCCGACGCCTGCTCCTGCTCCTGCGCCTGCTGTTGGTGCAGAGTCTGCTAGGCCCAGCCCTCGCTGGGCGTCGAGGCCGGCGGAAGCCGCGGCGGCGGCGGCCGCCTCGGCCGCTACCCGCCGCGTGTGCCGCTTGCTGCCCAGGTGCTCCTGCAGGTTGCGCTGCCCGCTCACCGTCACCTGGCAGAGCAGGCATCTGAAGGCGCCTGGAACATCGGCCGCTGCCTGCACGTACTCTGCCTGCTGCTGCGGCTGTGCCTGCTCGGAGTGGTGGGTTTGAGCCAGTGCTGCTGCGACTGCCACGGGAGCCAAGCTTTCACTGAGGAGCATCAGTGCCTCCTCATCTGCCTCCAGTGGCGGCACAGCTGCGCCTGTGCTGCTGAGCCAGGCTGCCACATCGACAGCCTGCAGCTGCTGCTGCTGCCCTGCATCTGGTGGCGCCGCACCAGGCATGCCGGCGGCAGAGCTCGCAGTGCCGGGCTGGCTCACTGCATTGCTGCTGAGTAGCGGGGCAGCCGGCCGGGCCTGCTCGGCAGCGCCAGCGGGCTCAGCTGCGTCGTGTGCTGCCCCTTGCTGCTGCTGCTGCTGCTGCTGCTGCTGTGGTTGCTGCTGCAGCAGCTGCTGCTGCTGCTGCTGCTGCTGCTGTGCTGGCAACACCTGTGGCTGAGGCTGGGTGGCGTGCAGGGCCACGGCAGCCGCCTCCACACGCACGTTGCTGGCCCAGCTGAGCAGCTGATCCCCCCACTGCAGCCCAAAAGACCCGGTGCCATCGCTGCTGTCGCTGCCGCTGTCGTCGCCGCCACTGGCACCGCCATCAACGCCGCCGCTGCCGGCTTCTTGTGCCCGAGCAGCAAACCCTGCTGGCTGAGAGGATGGTGGGACCCCACCTGGTGCTGCAGCAGTGGCTGGTCCAGAACTGAGGATTGCCGCTGCACCAGCAGTCGGCAACTGCTTGGCAGGAGCACCAACTGCCACTGCTGCTCCCCTGCTGCCACCTGCGCCTGCGGCTGCGCGCTGCCTGGTGCCTCCTGGGGCAACATGTGCCGCTGCCGCCGCTGCTGCGTTGGGTGCCTGCCTGCTGCTGGCGGCGGTCCAGCCGGTCAGCACATCCTGAAACGCAAAGCTTCCAAGGCTGCTAGAGGGCGCTGTGGAGACAGCCGCCTCGCTTGCTGCCCCCTCCTCCGAGCCGTCGCTGGCTGCTGCTGGGCTGGCCTCTGAGGCGGCGGTTGGATGACAGTCCTGCTGCTGCTGCCGTTGGGCATCTGCTGGCTCTCCTGCCTCATCTGCCGCCCTCCCTGCTGCTGCTTGGGGAGCCTCGTGAGGCTTGGTGGCTGCCGGGGTCGCCTCGGGCTGGCCGCAACCTGCTGCCTCGGCGCTGCTTGCTGCACCGTCATTCAGGTCGTCTGCTGGGGGCGGCACCTTGTCAGCCTTCTGCAGCTGCAGCTGCGCTGCTGCCAGCTGCTTCCGGGCATGAGCATGGGCCCTGCACAGAACCACAACAAATCATGTGCCAAGAAACCAGGAGGAGAGCAACAGGCTGCAAAGGCCCAATCGACGCCCAATCGTGTGTCGGCCTTTCTAGCAGTGAGCAGACGACAGAAGGCTGGGCCCACCTTTGCAGCTTCTCCCTGCACTCCTCAGCATGCCCCAGCTGCTGCTCCAACAGCTGGCGCCGCACAGCGAGGTTGGCCAGCAGCAGCAGCCGGTCCTGTTCCTGTTGAGCGCCCAATGCGAGCGCAGCCGTAGCAGGAGGCTCGGCGGCGGCACCCTGCTGCTGCTGCACCCCAGTGAGCTGGTTGGCAAGGGAGCCTTGCGCCTCCCCAACTGCCTGCATAGCGGCCTCCAGCTCTGCACAAACACCAAAAAAAGGTCGCACAACAAGGCTGGGCCATCTCCATGTAACGCCCAGCCCTGCCGCTTGAACTGCCCATGGCAGCAGCACACACGGCCCGCCAGCCCTGGGCCTCCACACCTGCCAGCACGCCCTGCCAGCGCCCGCATGCCTGCGCCGCGCCGCTGCGCTTGAACGCCCGCTTCAGCCGGCTTTCCCTCTTTTTGGCTTTCGCAAAGCGGGTGCCGGGTGGCGGCGTCAGCACGGGGGCAGCCTGCAGCAGGGCATTGTGCAGCTGTATGCAAATGCCCCGCCAACTCATGTGCAGCCAGCAGGGGCGTGTATCGCCTCAGTCGCCCTCACCTTGGAAGAGGCAGCAGCCGAGCGGGCTGCAGGCACTAACGACGCTGGTGTTGGTGTGCGCTGCCACGCTGTACCCTGCTGCTGCGCCTGCTGGCGTGAGGCGGGCCTCTGTGCCGGACTGAAGCTGGCTGTAGAGTCGGGCCTGAATGCCGGTAGCGCCCTCAGCAGCACATCACCCAGCTGCACAGATGCGCGCAGGCTGGGGAAGGCGCCGCTGGGCGCGGCAGGAGGGTGCAGCGGCTGTGCCATGTTGCGGCCGCCATGAGCGTCCTTGAGGTGCTGCGCGAAGCGATGGATGTCTCGGAAGGCGCGCCCACAGGCCAGGCAGCGCCGCTCTCCTGCGGCAGCAAGCGGGCGAGTTGGAGCGAGGCGAGTTGCGGCAGGCGGGTGCGGCACCGCCGCCAGGCCCTTGCATCGCGCGGTGCTCTGCTGCGTTCGCTGTGCATTCCTGAACGCTGTGCGTCCCTGCGGTACGCACCAGTGACGTCTGCGCGACTTCTGGTGGCCTCCCGCAAAAGCTCCTCAGCGCTGCTGGGCTGTGTGGGCGCAATTGCGGGCTCGTGTGCATGCTGATCCACGTGACCCTGCCGCCTGGGTGCGCCCTCGCCCCGCGAGGCGACGCTGGCCCAGGAACGCATAGAGTGCTCAGGGGGGAGTAGGGCTCGCTTCAGATGGTCTAGACATCTTCAAGCTCCACAGGCGATCGCGTGATGACCACGGGGAGGACCCTACAACACCTGCCAGACTGTCGGTGTTGCATTTCGGCGGGCGCCACTGGCAATGCAAGTGTGGCGGGATCACAGGGCATACGATGGGCAACTATGTGGTGCAAACAAAATTGGGGACTACAACAGGTAATGATTGATACAAAGCGAGCAAGCTGTCTGGGGATGCATTACCTACGATGGAATCTTCCTGTGGTCCAGCCTAGCCATGCGGCAGGCTGGCAGCCTTGTGCCAGTGGGGTACAAAAGCCAACTGGGGATGCATGGGGGTGGCGCCGCAGCGGCTTCGTTGCGCTACCTGCCGTGCTGTGCCCGCATGATGGCCAGCAGCTGCGGGTCCATCTGGCTCTCGTCCATGCCCGGCGGCAGAGAGGTGACGCCCCAGGAGGGGCCGGCAGGGGCTGCACTCGAGAGCGAAGCAGCAAGGCGCAGCAGGGGCAAGTCAGCAACAGGCCATGGGCCTCCAGCAAGCCGCATGCCGCGCGCAAAAGGCAGCAGGGCATGCAGCTACGACACCTGCGAAGCGCGCGGGCACGCATCCCAAGCACCCCCGCACCCACACACACCAAGCGCCGCCTCCCCGCCCCGCAGCGCCCGCACCTTGCGCCGGCGCCTGCTTGAACCACTCGCCGTGCCGCTGCGCACCCAGGATGCGGGACGGGTCCAGCTCACGCCCCTGCCACGTGTCAGCCACATTGCTCAGCCGGTCCCGACCGTACCGGTCTGCGTCCTCCGCGGTAGCGGCGGTGTCCTCCTGCACGGCACGGGGCGGCGGGGACGGTGCAGCACGGCGGTCGTCCGGCTGACCGGGCTGGCTTGAGGGAGCAGGCTGCATGGCCAGCCGCCGCGCCACACCCACGCGGGATGACAGCCGGCCGGCCACCGCGGCACGGCCACCTGGCCGCCAGCCAGCCATGCAGGCGCCCCGCCGCACCTGCAGCCCGCCCGCCCTGTGCTTCAGCAGGCTGGCGAGGATACTAGAGTCGCCGCCGGTGTGCGGCACGCGGGCCCGCTTCTTGCCGCTGGCACCCGCATCGCCGCTGCAGGCGGCGCCGCGGGCCACCGCCCCTGGCGCGCCTCCCCCCTGGCTGTCCCTGATTGCCTCGCACTCCTCCTCCAGCATCAGCCGCATCTTCTGGCACCCCTCATCCTCGGGGCTGGCAGTGCTGTAGTACGCTGCACGGCGGGGCCCGCGCAGGGAGGGAGGGTGTGGAAAGATGCACGAGCGGAAGGGCTTGGAGCAGCCCACGAGGCGCCAAGGGCGCGGGTGCACGCAACAATGCACGGCAGAGCCAGCAGCACATGCGGCTGCCCCTCCCCCTCCTCCTCGTCCTGCCCTCCCAGCCTCCTGTCCCTACCTGTCACCATTGACAGCTCATCCTCCAGCATGCTCAGCGCCCTGCCGGGGTCGCTTTCCTCCCAGTAATGCCTGGCGCACACCCCCCGGCCCCGCTCCTCCTCCTCCGCCGCCTCCTCCATCCCTGCGTCGGCCGCGCCGCCTCCCCCTGCCTCCCCAGCAGCCTGGTCTGGCACTGGGCTGTCCACGTGCAGCCGCATGGCAAAGGGGCCCTCCAGAGAGGCGGCCGTGGGCTCTGCCGCCGCTGCCGCCGCTGCCGCCGCCGCCGCCGTCTGCTGCGCCGCAGCCGCAGCTGCTGCTGTCTGCTGCCCCGCAGCAGCCTGCTGCGCCGCCAGCAGCGCCTGCTCAGCATCCCGGGCCGCTGTTACTGCCACCGTGTAGGGCTGGAGCTTCGATATGGGCGTGGCGGGATCCCCAAACAGCACCGCCGAAGGGTCCACAGCCGCGGCAACCCCCGCCTCGGCCGCCGCCGGAGAGGCGCCGACGTTCACCGGAGGCATGCCCTGGCTGCGCCTGGTGCGAGCCGCCATCGGCGAGCCCACCAAATCGTCAAAGCTGCCTGCACGGGGATGCAGAGGTGCACGGGAAGTAGGTGTTGGGGCAGAGCTGTAGCTAGCCCATGGTTGAGACATCAGAGTCAACCACACACAGCTGGGTTGCCCACGCCATCCTGTCAAGGCCAGGATACCGCACAGGGGCGCCTCGCACCCTCCCCCTTGCTCTCCCTGTGCATGATCCCCACCGCCCCGCACTCACTCCCACCACGCCTCCCTCTGCTACCACAGAACCCCTCCCGCACCCCTGCACGCACCTCCCTCCGCCACCACATCAGCAAAGTACTCGTGCGCAAGCGCCTCGTCGGGGCTGCAGCGCCGGGTGGGGTCGAAGGCCAGCAGGCGGGACAGCAGGTCCACAGCCGCTTCGCCCGCCGCCGCAAACCTGCGCGTGTGCCGGCAGCAGCACCGTGAACGCTAGCGCCGCTGCGCGGCTTGCAGTGAGGCGCGCAGCGCGCCACAGGCACAGCTCCACTCGGCAGCATGTGATGGGGCAGGGTGGCTGGGAGCTGTGGTACAGCAGTACAGGATCCCACCTGCGGTATAGCGTGGGCGCGCGGCCGGGCAGGTGGTGCAGGTAGCGGCGCCAGCTCGGCTCCTGCACCGCCGCCACGTCGGCCCAGCATGGCGTGCCGATCACGGCAAACAGCGCCTGCAGGGGGGTGGCGGGCCAGCAGGCTGCTGGGTGGGGGCATCGCGCTGTGCTGTTGCCCCTCGAGGACGTGCCTGCACCGATCCCAGGAGGCTGCCACGATCCCGGAGGCTCCTCACTTCCGGGGCTGGAAGAAAGTCCCAAGGCCCACCTGCAGCTCGCTGCGGGTCATCTCGCTGCCGGGCCCTCCCACAAAGCTCTCCCCGTCCTCCGGCGTCTTGGGCAGGCCGTGGATGGCAAAGAGCGGGGCCACCTGCAGGCAGGGCAGCGCAGCGGAGCCGGCCGGCTGGGCAGGCAGCCCGCTGGCCTCCCTCGCGGCCCACAGCAGCGCAGGCAGGTGGAGCAGCAGGGGCACATGGCCGGGCCGGGCTGCGCACCAGCTGCGCACCGGCTGCCGCAAAACACAAACCAGCTGGGCTGCAACACGGCAGGAGGGCGCAGACCCAGGGACGCGGGCCTTGCCTGCAGGTTGGGCGTGGCTGCCGAGCCGACGTGCGCGATGCGCTGCAGCAGCTCTCCGAAGATGCAGCCCAGGCTCCACATGTCGATGGAGGCGGTGTAGCCGCCACGGGACATGACCACCTCGGGAGCGCTGCGGGGAGGCGGCGGCAGGAGAGGGCACGCGGGGAGCGAGCGGGGCGACGAGGTGAGCGGCGGGCAGGTGGCAGCGACCAGTGTGGTGCCAGTGAGGTTTGGCGGACGGTATGGTGTGTGGGTGACAGCAGAGCACCCCGCCTCTTGCAAGGCTGCCGACCCTCGGGCCTGGGCCACAGGCACGAGGGCAGCCGCGGGCGGCGCCGGGGCGCACCGGTAGCAGGGGGTGGCGACGACGCGCGTCAGCGGCGCCTTAAACCCGGCCTTGCTGCCGCGCTCGCCGCCGCCTGGCTCTGCCTGGACGTACAGATCCTCGGGCTGGGCAGGGAGGCAGGGGAGGAGGAGGCGGAGGAGGGCGGCAGGTGGTGGCGTCAGCGGACAGCATGCATGCAAGCATGTGCATGCCTGCCCCTCTGCGAAACGAAAACGAACATCACGCGAGGCACGCCCACCACCGCCACCACCGCCGCACCGGCTCCCATCCACGCACCCACACGCGCATACACACGCCCACACACGCACACACACACACGCGCGCCTGCATCGCCTCGTTCATTGCCTGGTAGCTGTCGGCGCCGTGCAGCAGCGAGTGGCGCTGCCCCTCCAGCTCCAGCTTGCCCGCCCGGGAGGGAGCGCTCTGCTCCGCCCAGTGGTAGCCCTCAGGCGTGGCCGACCGGGCGCTGCCAAAGTCTCCAATCTGCCGGGGAGCGGGGCGGGGGGCGGGGCAGGTGGGGGCAAACGGGGGTTCTGTGTCGCACGTTCCTCTGCGGGTAGGCTGTGAACACAAGGAGCAACAGCAGAGCAGGCGCGCAGGCGGCAATCCCGCTGCCCCGCCGGCCAGCCCGCTGCCGCCCCCGCTCGCAGAGGGCGATGGTGCCAGGGCTGCCCCTCGGCCTCCGCCGATGAGGGAAGGCCCGGCCCGGGCGCACGCCCACCTTGATCACGCGCTCCCCGCCCTCCCACACCAGAAACACGTTCTGGGACTTCATGTCTCGGTGCCAGACGTGGATAGAGTGTAGGTACTTGATGGTGACGATGAGCTGCCACATCAGCGATCGCACCTCCTCGCCTGCGGGCGCAGCGGACGCAGCGGCGGCAGCAGCAGTGCGGAACGGTCGGCGCGGCAGGCGGGCAGGGCGAGACAATCCCGAAGAAGCCGGTACCGGCGGAAGCTCCTCCCCAAGGGGCATGGCAGCCTGCCAGCTGCTGCCACCTCCCGGCGCCGCCTGCCTGCCGCTCCGCACCCCCCCACCACCCTCAATCACCCTCCCTTTTTTTGTTCTGTCTACCACGCCCACTCACTGGACATCTGGCCGCGCAGGTGGAACAGGTCGCCGCCGTCTGCCAGCTCCATGGCGATGTACACATCTACGCTCAGGTTGACCAGCCTGCCGCCGATGAGGCGGCACTGACCGGTGGCCGAGGGGCGCACAAACGCGTCGCGGATGCCGATCAGGTTGGGGTGACGCAGGCGGCGCAGGATGCAAATCTCGCGCAGCACGCGCTTGGTGTGCTCGGGCGACTGAAGCACGTCTGCCACGCGCTTGAGGGCCACCTGCGGCCCGCGGCGCGCGGGCAGGGGCAGACGGCGGCCCACGGTGGGCAGGCAGGCAGGCGGGCAGGCAGGCGAGAAGGCAGGGCGGGTGGATGAAGCAGCAGCGGGCCCAGGCCCCAGCCCGGCGGCAGCTGCGCTTTGGCTTGCGGGGCTACGAGGAAGGAGGGGCGGGGAGCAAGGGAGGAAGAGAAGTGGGCGCTTGCTGGAAGAAAGCACGGCGGCCCACCTTCTCCCCTGTGGCCTCGTCGACGGCCAGGCACACCGCGCTGTAGCTGCCATACCCCAGCACCTTGACCAGCCTGTAGCGGCTGCCAACCTGCGACGGGAGGAGGCGGAGCGGCGGCACCCAGGCTGTGTGTTGGGCCAGCGGGCAGGTGGGCATGCGCTGGGTGGAGGGGAGCCTGCGGACACCGCCGCTCCTCCTCCACCTCATTCCTGCGCCCAGAAGCCTCTTCCAGGTCCGGCAGCAGGGGCAACAGCAGGCTGGCTCGCAGGCAGGCAGCGTGGAAAGCAGATCCGAGCGGGAGGCACAGAGTCGCCGCACCTGCCACTGCGTGCCGTGGTCCTGGAGCGTGGTGCCGGGCTCGGCGCTGACAAACCACAGCCCCGGCTCGTATGGGCTCTTGCGGATGCCCGGGCCGGGCTCCATCCTGCACTGTTGTACTGTGGTGAAGAGGGGCGGCGCAGGTGAGCAAGCGGCAACACGAGCGGCAACGGCGGTGGCCGCTGGGGGGATGGGTTCTGCCGAGCGCGGCAGCCCGGTAGCTGCTGCTGGGCGCTACACCCTGATTCCGGCAGCTCCAGGCGACGATTTCAGCACGTGAGCGGCGGACAAACCTGCGCTGGATCGACAGGCAGGCAGGTTTTACGCCTCTGGGCTTGTCGGCATGCTGGGTCCAACGTACAGCAATCGCGCAGTAAAGAGGACGCGGGTAAACCCTCTCGGGTTGGCACTGTTGCATCCCCGCCAGCTCGGCACGCCAGGTGGAGACATCCCTCCAAACGCACGATTGGGCGCATTACACACGCTGGGCGCATTACACACGCCTACCAAAGTTTGTTTCAGATCCTGAGCGGCGCTGGAGGCTTGAATTCATACGCCTTCGCTTGAATTCACACACCTCGCACACAGGGAACAGGCTGTAGCTGTAGGAGGTTGCCTTGAGTGAGTGAATTGAGTGAGTGGAGAGAGGGCCGCATCTTGGAGCAACTAATTCGGTTTTGGCGCTCCGCCGCCTGCTGCCGGCGCCCCTACCGCACCTGGGCGCCACACATATCAACGCGTCTCATCTGCTCACTGCAGGGATCTGCAACGGCTGGGAGCCAGCAGCATGGTTCTTCCTCTCCTGCAGCCGCCCAGCGAGCTGCCCAGTTATGTGAAGCCGTTTGTCCTCGAATTGAAGGAGGCGGAGCTGAGGCACCTTCCGGGCCTTCCGCAGAGCGAGAAGCGGAAGATGGGGGAGGGGAGCCTGAAGAGCTTCGACAATTGCCTCCACAACCTGCGGCACTATGGAGAAATCGCGTTTGTGCTGGCAGGTGCGCTGGCTGGCCCGCCTGGGCATCCAGCCACCTGCGGCAGCTGCGCACATCCAACAGCGCCGTCGGCTGCGGGCGGCCCGCAGGCATCAAGCCGTGCGTGCTGATGGCGCACGCGCTGTGGCCGGGATTTGCAAAGGGCATTGCGGAGGAGTGCCTGCGGCCGCTGATGGACAAGTATGGGCTGGAGGGCAAGGGCTTTGAGCTGCATGAGATCAGGCGAGCTTGGCCTGCGGCGTTGTGGGTGGTTTTCGCTCGTCTACAGGTTTTGCCAGTCGCACCAAGGGAGGGCGTCCTCGTGAAACCCGCCCTTTCACCGCCGCTGTCCACCCGTGTCGGCTTGCCGCCTGCAGGCACCCCATGCTGACCAGCAACCCCGTGCACCCGGGCTTCCAGTGGGGCTGGGTGTTTGCCAACAGGCGCCACGCCGACTTCCCGCTGGTGCAGAGGGTCTTCCTGCAGCGCAGCCGCAGCCCGTGGCGGAGCTGCTCATAGGGAGGGCGTTGGGCTACCCGCTGCCAGCTGGCAATGCCGAAATGCAGTACCATGACATGACAGAGTGCAGGGAGCTGGGCGTGTGCCACCAGTCGGTGGCAGAGTATTGCTGCTCAGATGACCCCAGAGACTTTGACGCGATTTTCGCCCACATCCACGCCTACCACACCGTGTGGGCGCTGCTGGGGCGCAACATGACGATCGACACAGACGTGCACCCGCGCCTGGCGGCGGCGTGGAGGCAGATGAAGGAGGCGGCGCTGGGTACGTCGGCAGTGGTAGCGCTGCTGCGGGTGCCTTTGCTCGCCGCATGCCTACATGTTGCACCCTGTTGTAGCTCTGCAATGCCTGATGTGCTTTTGTTGCCTTCCACAAAGAGTTATGATGCAAAAAGCGATGTTCGACCCGCAATATTGCGCTGGCGCCGGCGGCGCCCGGGTGGGTCTGGGCAGCGGCGCATGTGCTGAACCCTGCCGTTGTCTGAACGGGTTGTACCACGTCTCAAGCGGCCAGTAACGATGGCTGGCGGCCTGCTTGAGCCTGGGGCAGTGCAGGCGGGGTGTGCCTGGAGCAGGCGGGGTGTGCCCCCTGGCTGCCACAGCGGGGGCCGGGTGTGCAGTTGCTCGGCAGCAGTGCCCGAGCATCCTGAGGTATATGAGACCTAGCAAGAGGTCCAAAACCCTGCTCCATGCGAAACCCCCGCCAACTCAGCGTGCCTCAGATGAAGGACACTTGTACGCCTCCCCAGACTCCTTGCGAGCCATCCACACCTTCCCCTGGGACTGATCATCCTAAAAAACAGAGAGAGGAGTCGTGGATCGTCTGTAATTTGGCAGGCCCCTTCTACCTGTGCCTGCGCTTCACGGCGCCCGCCGCGCCGTTCATGGCGGCACGCAAGGGCCCCAGCTTTCTTTCCCGTGTGCTCTCCCGCGCTGATAGCCCCTCAGCCCGCGCCGACTCTCCTGAGCGGGTCAGAGCAGCGTCTGCAGACCGCCAGCCGGGCAGCAATATGACTGTGACGCCTCAGGAGGGCAGCCAGCCGCAAGCGGGGGCCGCAGCGGCTGGGGTGCCCGGCCTGAACGCAGAGGTGGGCGCTGAACGGCCCGCTGCGCACACCCCAGAACCTGGTTGACCGTCGCAGGGGCTTGCGGGCCCACTCCAGAGCCGTGCAAGGCGGGGGCGCCGTGCCCGCAACGCGGCTGACACGTTTGTGGCCCAGCCGCCGCCCCGCCGCCGACCCTCATGTGCCCGCCCATGCCGCGCCTTGCGTCCTGCAGAGCAGCGTGCAGAGCCTGGACGGCCGCATCATCCCCACCTCCTTTGTGTGCCCTGTGTCGATGGAGATCATGGTGCGCCTGTGCTGCTCGCTTGCAAGGTCAAACCGCCGGCCGAGCGGGCGACCACCTGTTGGGCGCTCGTGTGTGCCTGCTCGCCACTCAACCGCCTATCCTGCGTACCTCTACCTGCATCTGCAGGTGGATCCCGTCATCCTGGCCACCGGCCACACCTATGACCGGCACAGCATCGAGCGGTGGCTGGCGCAGGGGCACAAGACGTGCCCCGTCACCGGCATGCGGCTGCGACACCTGGAGCTCACCCCCAACTTTGCCCTGCGCAGCGCCATCGTGGACTGGGCGCAGCAGAACAGCGTCAAGCTGCCGGAGCGACCCACGCAGCAGTCGGTGCAGCCGGTGTTCAAGTGGGAGGAAGGGCGCGCTGGCAACATCCTGCACGTGGGTGCTGCCGCCCGCCCGCAGAAACCGCGCCGGGCCCTGGCCCGCTCGCTCGCATATGCTGTTCTGGTTGCCCAGCACCTGGGCGCGCCACCAGCTGCTCCGTATAGATGTGTTGCGAGGCAGCAGCCTGGCGTGGCAGGCCTCGCCGCTTGCCCCGCGTTGCCTGCGCCACGCCCACCGCGCCACCGCTGCTTGTGCTGGCACATGGCGTGTTTGCAGGGGCACACAGAGATCATCTGGGCCATCGAGGTGCTGGGCAGCCGCATCTACACCGCATCAGCCGACAAAACTGTGCGGGTGTGGGACCTCAACACCAAGCGCTGCACGCAGGTGCGCTTTGGAGGCGGGCCTGCCTGTCGCTGCCACCGCCTGCCCGCTGGATGGCAACCGCAGCGGCACTGCGGTCCCACGGCGCCGCACCGCAACCCTCCCCAGCCACCCGTGCTTGCCCGCTGCTGGCCTGGTCCCATTCATTGCCGGGTCCCATCCCCACGCTGTCCACCCCACCCACGCCTGGCGCTGCGCAGGTGCTGGAGAGCCACACGCGGCCGGTGCTGTCACTGGCCACCGCGGGCGGCCGCCTGTTCTCGGGATCTTACGATTACTCCATCCGCGTGTGGAGCCTGGGCAGCCTGGCACGGGAGAAGACGCTGACGGGGCACACCGACGCGGTGCGCGCGCTGGCGGTGGCCGGCAACAAGGTCTTCTCCGCCTCATACGACACAACGCTCAAGGTGGGCTGGCCGGCTGCGCTGCGGGCCTGGGGCTGGGGTGGGGTGCGGGTGCGGGTGACAGGGCGGGAGGGTGTGTGAGAGCGGAGAGAGGGAGCGCGTGTGTGCCGCAGCACAGCCTGCCGGCCCGCCTTTGCTGCCTGCAGGTGTGGGATGCGGAGGCGCTCACGCTGCTGGCCACGCTGTCGGGCCACTCGGGGCCCGTGCGCACGCTGGTGCGCTGCGGCGACAAGGTCTTCAGCGGCTCCTACGACAAGACGGTGAGTACCTGCGCCCGCCGCTCCTCCTCCTGCTCCTGCTCCATGCGGTCGCTGCGCTGCCTGGTGTGGCGCCTGCTGCGCTGCGCTGCGCCGTGTGGGCTGGACCACAGCGTGCGCAGCGTCTCGGGTCACCGTGCATGCTCGTGCCGTGGCTCAGGGCTGTGCCGTGCCTCACGGTGCAAGTGCTGGCAGCACCCGCCTGCCTACCCACGCGCCTCTCTGCGCCCGCAGGTGCGCGTGTGGGACACCACCACGCACGAGTGCCTGGCCACGCTGGTGGGGCACACGGGCGCGGTGCGGGCGCTGGCGGCCACCGACACCATGGTATTTTCCGGCAGCGACGATACGACAATCAGGGTGAGGCGTCGCTTCCGCGTGAATGTCCTTCATGCCTCCTGTTTCTGGTCCCTTGGCCTTGGGGTTGCAGCGGGAGGCAGGGACGGGGTGCTGCTGGGCGGGAGCAGCCAGCTGGAGGTTGGGCGGCGCTGGCTCGCGCTGCGCTGCATGCCAGTGCCGCTGCATTCGCCCAGCAGCGGGCCCCCAGGTTTTCTTGACCCTGCCCGGCGCGGCTGTGTGTGTGTGTGCGCAGGTGTGGGACGCGGCCTCCCTCACCTGCCTGGCCACGCTGGAGGGGCACGAGGACAATGTGCGGGTGCTGGCAGTGGGGCACGGCTACCTCTTCTCGGGCTCCTGGGACAAGACCGTGCGGGTGGGTGCCTGGGCGCCGCAGCCAGCTGCTGGCAGCCGCAGCCTTGCTAAGCTGCCACGTCCCGCCCGCATGTGCGGAACCCCCAACCACACGCCACCACCGCCGCCATGCACGCATGCCGCCGCGTGGCCCCTCCCCGACTGCCACACTTCTGGCTCCTCTGCCCCCCTCCAGGTGTGGTCCTGCGACAGCCTGACGTGCATCAAGGTGCTGGAGGGACACAATGAGGCGGTACTGGCGCTGGCGGTGGGGGACCTCTTCCTGGCCAGCGGCTCCTACGACACAACCATCCGCTTCTGGGACCTGGCCTCCTGGCAGTGCGTGCGCAAGGCGGAGGGGCATGACGACGCGGTGCGCGTGCTGGCCGCGGCAGACGGCAGCGGCGTCATCAGCGGCGCGTACGACGGCGCGGTGGGGGTGTGGTGAGGCACCCGGGCGCGTGCCGCCGGGCCGCAGCAGCCTGGCGTGCAGCGCCCCCACACCCCCACACACCCTCGCCCACAGCCAGCCCAGCCGCCGTGGGCACCTTGCAGCAGCGCGGGCGCCGCCCTCCCCGCCCCCCAGCCCAGCAGGACAAGCCAGCGCCCCAGCCGGGGGGCCTGGGGGGCAGTGCCCTTGCCTGACCATGATTTAAGTCCGCAGTGTACCTCACCCCACCAGCAATGAACTCCCTTTATACCCGCTCCCGGCGCGCCGTGCCTGGCTCCCCCCTCCCAGGCCACCTCTCTCGTCCGCACCTCAACAGTACTATTCCCTTGCCTCTCAGCCGTTTTTTCCTGCCCTACGTGATGCGGCGCAGCTGCCCCCGCAACAGCTGTGGGGGCCCTGACACACAAGCCCGCCAATGCCCCGCCCCGTCCCTGCCTTCCACACTAATTCCCCCGAACGAACGATGTGCGCCTGCCCCTTCCCTCCCTCCTGCTCTAGCACCCCCTCCTGTCTGTGTAGCGATAGCCCCCTATTTCGTGCTTTGCTTTGTATCAAGCGCACGGCGCCAGCGGTGCTGCAGCGCGCCCGCCGCTGCCCCTGCGCCCCTTGCTGCGCATGTGAACTGCCCAGCCAGCCTTGCTTGCTCTTGCACAGGCTCAATTTTTGGTTTTCACCTTTACAATGTTCACAAGCCCCCCGAGAGTAGAGGACAGTTTGGTAGCAGCAGGGCACCGCATGCCACAAGCCCGCACCAGTAGCAGCAGCAGGCGGGAGGGCCAAGCAGGCACGAAGGGGGCGCACAGCTTATGGAGCTGGCGGCAGCAGGCTGAACTCTGGCGCCTCCGACACCTTGCGCCGCTTCGGCGCCCCTCTTCCGCCGCCCCACGCCCGCTGCTGCCCGCCCGCCGCCCGCGCCGCCTGCCCCTCCGCCACCACCCCCGTGGCCGCTGTCGCCGCCTCCTTTGCTACCGCCGGTGCGACTGCCGCCGCTGGCCCGGCTGCCCCGCCCCGCGCCCGCTCGGCTTCCGCCTCGGCCGCCAGCGCCGCGCCCATGGCCTCCAGCGCCGCATCCACGTCGTCCCGTACCGCCTCCAGCGCCCCTTTAGCCAGCCGGTGGGCCCGCACAAACGTGTTGTCCGCTTTCCTGAGCATGCCCTTGAAGTGCCGCACGTCCTCGTGGCGCAGCAGGGTGAACACGCGGCCCGCGCGGCCTGCTCGCAGGGTGGGCGGGTTTAGGGTTTGGGGGCCAGCCGGGAGGGCTGCGGGTCGGGCCAAGGCCACCTGCCGCTGCCTCCGTCCACGCGGGAACAAACGCCCCCAACCCAGAGCGCCACACTCTCCCTGCAACGCACAAACACACACACAAGCGCGCGCGCGCGCGCACGTACCCACCCACCACCCCCACCCTCCCACCCACACACACACACAGCCCAGCGCACACCGCCCGCCGCATCCTGGCGCGCGCGCCCCGGGCTCACCCGCACGCGCGGTGCGCCCCGCGCGGTGCACATACGTCTTGACATACACCGGCGCGTCGTAGTTCACAACATTCGCCACCCCCGCCACATCCATGCCGCGCGTCATCGCGTCGGAGCACACCAGCACCTGCGGAGGTGGTGGTGCGTGGACGCGTGGTGGGATGCCCCCGCGTAGCGGGCCAGGCGGGCGGCGCCACCAGCAAGCAGCGGCACCACCCGCAAGCGGTGCCACCTGCCAGCGGTGCCGCCAGCCACCGGTGCCACCAGCTGGACGGCCGCAACGGGCAGGCGGCGCAGCGCACCTTGGCCTTGCCGCTGCGGAATGCCTCCAGGCGCGCGGCTCGCTCCGCGGGCGCCACCAGGCTGCTGAACTCCACCGCCCGGTCGGGCAGGCAGGGCAGGGCGGCCAGCAGGAGGTGGAGGCGGTGGGTGGCCTCCACAGAGGAGGTGAAGACGATGGTCTGCTCGCCGCGCAGCTCCTGCAGCGCGGCACCGACGCGGGGCAAGGCGGGCAGGCAGGCGGGCAGGCAGGCAGGCAGCCGGCGGGGAGAGGCAGGTGGCAGGCAGTCAACTGCCAGGCCTCGGCAGGGCAGCAAGCCCCACACGCTGTGTCCAATGTGGGCCAGCCTGCACGGCGGCGGCGAGGCGCTGGGGCGACGGGCGGCCGCGCGCGTCACGCCGGCTGGCCCCTGCAACGACGGCATGCTGGCGCACCTGCAGCAGCGCGGCCAGGGCGGCGGGCTTGCGCTCAGCTGGCACCACCAGCTTCAGCTCCTGCAGGCTGCGGGGCAGCTGGTACCGGTGGTCCACTGCAGCGAGCAGGGAAGGAGGGCGAGGAGGGGGTGCGATGGGGAGAGGGAGGGGCGGGCAGCGGGCGCGGCGGCAGCTGCAGGCGCAGGCAGGCAGGCGGCAGGCATGGGTGTCACGGCGAGGCGGCAGGCGCCGCAGCAGGCGCCGCAACAGGGCACCACAGCGGGCACCACAGCAGGCACCACAGCGGGCACCACAGCGCGTGCAGCGGCAGGCGCAGGCGCCCCGTCAGCGGGGCGGCCCGGGCCTCCTCACCCGCGCTCATGGCGATGTATCGGGGGCAGTGCAGGCCCAGGCGGTCGATCTTGGAAGGGTCTCGAGTGAGGGTGGCAGACACCACAAATTTCACT